TGCGACTTTTTGAGCTTAGTGTATGTATATGTTATGATCTATTTGATGTAGAACCTTGATATTTGGAATATAACTAGTCACTTTGAATATGAATTCACCTATTACTAATTGTTTACATTTTGGGGCTGGGGCATAACTCCCATAGGATGCGTTTGTTCAAAAAGAGACTTTGCACACAATTACCTCATACTTTTGGCCAGTATGTATTAACAGCTCAGTTGTTTCAGCTTTATAGTTTCAAAAAAGGAACGGGTTTTAACATTTAGATATTTTCATTTTTCGATTTTGACCTTTGTTGACTTTTGTTGACCTATATCTTTTGACCTCTATTATGTAGGAACTTGACATTTGGAACATAACGTAACATTTTGAATATTGATTAACTTATTCAAAAAAAATTGAGTTCAAAAAAAGGAACAGGTTTTGGAAAGTCAAAATTTTCAATTTTTAACCTTGACCTTTGTTGACCTTGACCTTTGTAGGATCAAACGTCATTGGCATTGGCTATCTATTTATACTTTTATATTTGCTGTCCTAAGTCAACTTCTGGTTTTATAGTCGTTAGCAATTTGAAATTTTAATGGCGTATATCTCTTGATCTTGACCTTTTTAGGCCTTCTCCTTTACAAGATCAAAGGTCATTGACCTTGGCTATCTGCTGATACTTTCATTTGTGAGGTCTGACATCCACTTCCGGTATTAAAATCTTCTAAAAAAATGAAAATTTCTCAACTTTAGACTGTTCTTGCGCTTGATCTAATTATCGTGGAAGGTTGAATTTTTCAGGGTCTTTTGCATTTTGCTACATTTGCAAAGTCCCACTCTGTGCCACGGGTGGTTCTAGTTTGTGATTGTTGTTCATGGATTTTTTTCTGGAGACTGTTACATTATGAACTTTACTGTGCTGAATATGAACTGTGTTATTAGACAATTTATTGTTTTGTTTTATTTCTGGTAATTATTTTGATTTTGTTAATTTCTTAATAATAATGAATTTTAGGAAATTTATTTCAACTTTTAGTCAGACACAAGATATTTATGCATATGGATACATAACAAGAACAGTTTTTTCATCACAACTCAGATTTTAATGGAATGATCATTTCAATGTCCTGTATCATACCTAAAAATGAAAATGCTAAAATCTGAAAAAGAAATTCATTGACACTCATTTAGGCTGTCTCTGGGACACCTCATGAAGAAATTGCTTCTGAATATTGAAGAGCTTCTAGTGGACATTTTTATCAACAAAAATGAAAATGAAATGAATGGAGTTTTACGTCCTACTCTTCTGCACCATGTGGGCTAATGAGGGAAATTTTGCCAGGACATCGGCATTAGCCTGCTCTTTTTCGACTTCCAACTGTCGAGGGATCTTTAACGTGCACAGCCTGTAGTACACAGGGCCTCGGTTTATTGTCCCATCCGAACGACAAGACGCTTTTTCCATGTCAGCCCCTCTTATCTGCATCACTGACAGGGGGAAACCGGGTTGAAAAATCCAAAGGTATTATCTCGACCTATGCCGGGTTTGAACCCTGGACCTTCAGGTTAGCAAGCAAACTAACTAACTGAGCCACCGCAGCTCCCACTTCAACAACAGGTACGGTAACACTTCTGTGTTTTTTTCCCTTTCCTCAATATTTCTCATAATTTATCTATTAGTAGTAAAATATTTTTAAATCCATACAGTATCCACGATATTTGGAGAGAAAGTGGTAAAAGAACTTTTCAGCAATGGAAAGAATAATCTTTATATTTTTCTAGCAATGAAAATGTTGATCAGCCAGGCCAGAGGGTAGCACATAACAAATACAGTAAGTTTATGTTTTTATTGTTGGTTTTCATTTTACTGCACCTAAACCAGTTTAAACATGTTTCAGTTTAACATCATGTTTCAGGTAAATATCAATTATTCCATAATTCCAAGATCATAAATTAATAACAACAAGCAATCAGAAATATGGTGTGTTTTTTTTCTTTTTAATCATGTCTATTAGTAATATTGATATGTCAGGAGCATCAAACTTATCATTGTTTTCTTCCATTTTTTTTTTTCGTACTTTTTGTTTTCAGTGTCACAGATAAATAAGAAGTTCAATGTTGTGAAATAAGAGAATTAACTGCAAGAAGAATTTGTAAGTTTTCAACTGTTAGAGAATAATGACATTCCACCATTCGACTTGGACCAAGATGAATGAAAAGATTTGTTACTGATGTTTTAAAACGATTTTGTCAACTATAATGGGTCAATAATTTATTTTAAGTAAATGCGGCTGATAATTCATTCTGTTATCAGCAATGGTCTCTGCTGCTTGTAGTTATTCCATTAGTATTCCTGAAGTAACAGGAAACAATGAAAACCGAACAGATTTGAAGAAGGAGCCAAAACAGAACCACTAGGTCCTTGGTTTCTTAGAAGCCAATTAGTTACAGATCATTTTATAAAGTCATTAAATTGGCTCGATTGCAAATTAGAACCGTTGAAAGCTACATGTAAAAGTGCATTCAATATATCATTTTTAAGACGGCTTCTTAACCTATAAATAACTAATTTCAGGCAACTGGCTTCTCTTTCTGGCCAAGCATTGCTAAAAGGGAAAACCAGGATAGCATAGGCTATAGTAAAAATTATACCCATACCCAGACTTGATTGTAAAGAAAGTATTCTGATTAAGAGCCAAGTTGTTCGGGTTGATGTTGATTTGCCTTGTTTAACCTCAGCAGGAATTTCTGAATTTAATTTAATCATGTCATATTTGAATTTTTGGAATTCTGCCAACTGTTTTGCTTTTTAGTCTCTTGGCTCTTGGTTATCACATTGAAAAAAGTGATTGGCATTTTTTCAATTTGAGCCTTGCCATAAGTTAAAAATCCAGGAGAACTTAGTTCAGGAACAGTTAAAGGATTGAAAATGGCTAAAGCATCAACAACTTCAGAACTTGACTTAAACCTATCATTTATGTTTATGACTAAAGCAGCACAATATTGATCCAGTAAACTTTCCATAGAATATTTTGCATTCAAATTGAAAATAACCATCCTTTTTCCTCTAAACCATGCTGCAAACTCTTAACGCACTCCTTAATATTACCAATTTCTTTCAGTTTATCAATAGGGTAAAGAATGGTTGGTTGAATTCTAGAAAAATCGATTTGATTGAAACTGAAGACTGAGACTATTTAGAGAAGATAAAACATTCTTCAAAAGATTAAGAACCGTAAAGATGTTAATTTTTTCAACAGACCACAAGCAGTAACAGTTGCATCTTTCTCCAAAGTTCGAAGTGTGTGGATTATTAACACCAGATCTGAATAGACACTTGCTACCGACTTGCCAAAAGATAACCATCTTGTTTTGCAAGCCTTTTGGAGCCTTTTAACAAGAATCTTATTATATTTTTCAGACAATTTTGATTTAATTTTTTTCCATTCTAGTTGTATCTTTTGATATATTGATAGCTTTTTGGGACTTTTTTCAAACATATACCACTATTGCCTTAAGATGTCTTGGACATCTTCAATAGATCTTATTCATTCATTAGAATCACAACATGCTAGGGATAATTTGTGGCAAATACAATGTATTTATTAACTCTTTGGAAATTTTCCTTAATTTTCAGGCAAGGCCATTGTTTTTACTAATACCTTAGTTTTTTTTTGGTGATTCATCAAATTTTTCAAAAGATTGACAAATGATGGAGAAAAAAACCTCTGCATTATGACCAGCTAAACCATCCTCAACCATAAGAAAGTTGACATCAGGGCATTCCTCAGCTAAATGACTACATTGGACACCAATATTTATAAATGTGTCAATTATCTCTAATTATGAGGTTTATAATCTTTTTTTTTGTTGAAACCCATCACATACAATTTGATGAGATAAAAAAAAACAATATCAAGTAGCCTGTACCGATTTACTATCTCTAGTGTACTATTTTATCTGTAATAACGGTCAAAAACGTCATGACGTTTTGTGACACTTTATACATGTGCTAAGACACATTTTTTCTTACGTATTAAAAACCACTAATTTTAATTCAATTCTAGACTAATATTAAGTAGAAGGTTAATTTTAATGTTTTTTTTATTTATTTCATTCATTTGTTTTCTACTGATCGTGAAATGCTGTCCTGAAATTCCAGTAACGTTCATAACACAATCTGTCCAAATTGAAAGTTGACCTATTTTTCGTCGATAATCTAGTTGCCATTACTTAAGGCATTCTTTCGTATTTTCTATTTATGTCCATCAAGTCCCCTTTTCAATAAAATACGCAATTCGTGTGTAACATGTTTTGTATTCTCAAAACTGAAGTTTGTTTTTCTTCACGTCAATATCTGTCCAAATAAAGTAACGTTCAAACAGGTTAAGTTGACCCGATTTTGACCTTGTACGAAACTAAATTATATATGTGAAGCTATCACTATCTCGGGTCAAGGACAACTTTTACCGCCATAACTTGCTGTTTTCGTCTTACTGTCAAAAAAGGTAAGTTTTATATTTTTAAACTATGTCTGTCCCAGAATACACCTGCTGTTACGTACGTATGATTTGTTACGAACGTGGTACAAACACGCAGTTATATCTACGGATATTTATCTGCTGATTTCTCTGTTTTCGTCAAGAAGTCGGCATGGTAAATTACGACAATTATGTGTCCAATCGATTTCTAAGATACTCATTTGACCCAATGTTGTGGTGATTTCTTCCAATATTGTAAATAACGTTTGTAACAAAGACAAATGTCTTTGTTAGAACGTTATACTATTCGATATTGTGTGTTTTTACTTATGTTGGATCAAGGTGGTGGCAATGATCTGCCCCTCCCCCACCTCTCTCACCTTCCCCAGCCTAGTCACCCTATCCTCCACAAACATTTTGTGATTCTAAAGACATTTTCTGTGGAGTTGTAAGAAATTTCCTCTTATTTATTTTTACCGGTACGGTAATTAAAATAGTTATTCTCTGTATTTTAGATAGCCTACTGGTAAGATAATGGCCACTACACCAATACCACAAGCTTTAGCCATGAGAAAAAGGAGAGCAAGATTAAAAGAAGATGCAGAAGTGTATGAAGACTATAGATCAAAAGAAAGAAAAAGATTACAGAATTTAAGAAAGAATTTATCCCCTGAACAAATCGCTAAAAATAGAGAAGCATCAAGACTAAGAATGGCGAAGATGAGACAGATAAGAAAACAAAATTGTAAGGAAAACGAAATCAATAATACAAACTTAGTTCGAAAAACTAGATTAAGTACTGATCAGCAGCAGAAACAGAGAGAATCATGGAAACTGAAGAAAAGAGAGCAAAGGTTGAATATGTCATCCCAAAAGAAAAGGAGAATAAGGGAAAAGGATGCTAAGGAAAAGAAGAGTAAAACAGCCTTGTTGCAGGAGAAGAATTCAACAGAAGATTACGGTAGTTCTAATGATAACTTAGCATTTCCTTCAGATGCAGCAAAACGACAAGCTTTATGCCGTGTTAAATCCAGCTTCCCAAAAAAATCTGCTGTAAAATATGCTGTTGTAGTGGCAAATCTGATAAAAACGGCTAGTCCCAAAAAAGTTGCAGCTTTGAAGGAACATGGTGTTGAAGTCAAACAACAGGATCAAGATATGTGTTAGCCTGTGTTAGGAAATCGCTTAAAACAGTTAAAAGAAGTACCAAAAGGCAGTTTGTAAGCAATATAGCTTCAATACTTGACCAAAAACATGGATTGAAAAAGAAAGCATCCAAATGTTTAGGTATTTCCTGTTATTTTTTAATGAAATACTCCAAACTGAAGAAAAAGAATGCAGATGTGGACCAAAGAAAAAAACGTTCAGATGCCACACCAGCTAGTACAATTGATGCAAGTCATGATCACTATGAAAGGCCTGATATGTCAACCATATTACCAAACCGCAAGAGTATTGCCCAGGGTCAACCTAAACATGTTCTTCAACGGTCCGTTGAAGCCACTTTCAAGTCATTCACAAACGATAGCCCATCACTTAAAATATCAGAAAGCACCTTTAATAAATTACGCCCTAAACACATCCTACTGCAGTCTATATCCAAATTTTATCAATGTCTATGTGAACCATGCACCAATATTGACCTGAAATTAAAAGTACTCAACCATGAAGTCTACCAATGCCAATCAACCTCCTGCTCCATAAGAGACAGATACCATGCCACAGATTTGACTCTATGCCCCAAAGATCAAAATCCTCATGCAAAACTGGAGTGTATTGATCGGAAATGTGAAATTTGTGACGTAGATTTGTTAGATCATTATTTGCAACCACTATTGAATGTGAGTGGAGATAAAGATGTATCCTGGCAGTATTGGGGACAGACAACGTATGGTAACGAAGGTAAAAAGAGAGTAGCTCTTCTACGATCATCAGGGACAGTAAAACAACTGGTCGACCAATTAAAAGAAGAATTGATTTCATTGTCGACGCATTTATTCATAGCCAGGTGGCAACAGAATGTATTTTACACCATAACAAAAAACCCACCAACCAACAGTATTGTTATGGTCATGGACTTTGCCGAAAACTATCTTTGTGTAATGCAAAACGAGGTCCAAAGTGCACATTGGTATCAGATGCAGGTAACACTTCATCCTATGTTGTGCTTTTACCGATGTGACACTTGTGAGAAAACTGTGCGTGAAGCGATTAATATCATATCAGATGACATGCAGCATGATGCCCATGCTGTGCGATGTTTTGTTGAAACTGCAGTATGTCATCTAATCAATGTGAGAGGATTAAATCCTCAACGACTCATCAAATTTTCTGATGGTTGTTCCAGCCAATACAAATCAAAAACACCTTTTGTCGATCTTTCGTTTGCTGCTGAAGATTTAGAAATTCCAATTGTAGAGCATCACTATTTCGGATCTAGACATGGAAAGAATCAGTGCGATGGTGAGGGAGGTGTAGTAAAGAACGCAGCCACAAGAGCAGTTAATTCTGAAGGTATTGTTATAGCTAACTGTGATGACTTCTTCCAGTATTGTATCCAGCATTTGACAAAGGCATCTACAAATGAAGATGGAAGTTGCAATCATTCAAGACGTTTTTTTTACCTCGTCAGGAAAGATCAAATAAGTCATGATGTTAAACCGGAGAGGTCTGGTGTTACTACCTTACAGGGAACACGGCTACTGCATTCAGTTGTCTGCATCAAGCCTTTTCATTTGAAGACACGCCGTCTCTCCTGCTTTTGTGAGAGCTGTGAAAATTATGGTTCAGAATGTTTGAATTCCTGCTATGTCACTAAATGGAGCAACACTATTTTAAAAGTTAAGAAAGGTTAGTTGAAAATCATATTTATGATGTAGTTACTTGGCTGGCAGTAAAGTCATTTTGATGTTTTGCATTATATCTAGTATGATTAGTGTGGTTAGCTCCTGCTGTCAACTACCATTCACCTGTGAAAGAAGATTCCTTATAAATTGGTTTCTATAGACATAGTTAAAATCTATGTTAATTATTGTATTTGGCGTCAGAACTTGCCCTTACTGGGAACTTATTTTAACTTTATTTTTTTTTAGTAAAACCAGATGAAAAGTTAGAACAAGATGAAAAGTTAGAACAAGATGGAAAGTTAGTAGAACAAGATGGAAAGTTAGTAGAACAAGATGGAAAGTTAGTAGAACAAGATGGAGAGTTAGTAGAACAAGATGGAGAGTTAGTTGAACAGGATGGAAAGTTAGTACCAGACAGAGCATCAATACAAAAGTAAGTGGTTAATTATTAATACATTATACCAATTCATCTAAAATATAGGTTTTGTTATGGGAAGGATGATAATGTTAATTCAAAATCAATTACTAGCTATCAACTTGGGCAATTTGTGGTGGTAATCATACCAGTAGGAAAAAACTTTAAAGAATATGTTGCGGAGGTAATAATTGAAAGTTTAATGTTCTGGTTTCCTTGTTGTTTTTTTTTAAGTATTGATTATTTATTTTAGTACTTTTATCATGTAATTCAATTATTTATTTTGATGATATATTTGATAAGTTTAAACTAGTGATTAATATTAATTTCTTAACATTGATCAGAAGTTCAATGATATTTTAATCAATTTAATATAGCCTTTCTTAATGGCATTACTTCAGATTAATTCAATGAAAATGGTTATTACCTTCTCCAATACATGGAGAAAGTTAAAGATAATGTTTATAAATGGCCCATCAATGTTGATGTTTCAACGGAATCTCCTACCAGTATTGTAAGACAGTTGCCTCTACCAATCTTATTAGAACATAGGAGCAATACCAGAATTCAGTTTTATTCCTTTCAAAGTGTTAATATTTATTTTAAAGATGGATTTTGTTTTTAATATGTTACAAATGTTAATTAAAATGCTTTTTGATTTTAAATTTAATGTCCATAAATTTTAGTAACGAAAGTTACATATTTTTTGCCATAAGATTTTTATCAATTTTATAATTTTGAAATCTATAACTGATTATTGTTATAATGTTTAATTAACACTATTATCATTTGAATAAGAGCAATAAATGTAGAAAATATGAGCTATATTGATAAAAAATTTTAATGTCTGTCCATGTTACAAACAGTAATTAAAATGCTTTTTGATTTTAAATTTAATGTGCTTTTTTTTCATTATTATAAAAATTATCTACTACAGTAATCACTTAACTTTTGAAATTAATATTTCACATTGATATTTGTTATCTTTTAACATGAAATAACATTGTAGTCAATTAGACAAATATCTTGTAAATTCACGTCTGTCCATAAATTTTAGTTACGAACGTTACATATTTTTTGCCATAAGTTTTTTATCAATTTTATAATTTTGAAATCTATAACTGATTATTGTTATAATGTTTAATTAACACTATTATCATTTGAATAAGAGCAATAAATGTAGAAAATATGAGCTATATTGATAAAAATTGTTTAATGTCTGTCCATGTTACAAACATTATCTTGAAATGACGATGCACGACTTAAAACGTGTATAACCAGAAAATTTTGGAAAAACTATCTCCATATTTTTAATTTATTAACTAGATATGTTACATACATAGTAGCTATTGAAAAAATTATGAATCTATCACTTTTATTTTATGACCATCATGTCACATTACTGTACCCATTTAGCTGAAAATTGCCCATCAATGTTACCTGAATCGCTGTTATAGATTTAAATGAAGACAATCATCTGTTCCATAACAGAAATAACAGTAACATCATCTATCAACAACCCATATGTATATCTTATGACCTATATGATGACAAGATATTCAGATATTAATTAATCTTTAACAAAAATGGACTTATTGTTTACATTGGACAGGGGCATATTTCGCATAGGATACATTTGTTCAAAAAGGGACTTTGCACACATTTATCTCCATTTGGCCAGTTTGTTTGATCAGTTGTTTCAGCTTTATAGTTCAAAAAAAGGAACAGACCTTTGTTGACCTTGACCTTTGTAGGATCGAAGGTCATTGACCTTGGCTATCTAATTGTACTTTCATATTTGATGTCTGACATCAACTTAAGATTTTATAGCCGTATAGCACATTTTTAAAAGTGTTACAACACAGACGTTTTTGTCTCCAAATGTGAATGTATGTTTATATTTATCAACGCAATGGTATTCTTATAGTGTCGGTAAGCTTACATCATTGATTTTTCGGCTATAAAGCATTTAATTGAAACATTTCAATGAAAGAGATGAATTTGCCCAGGAAAGAAAGACTATTTTTCTCTGGAAAAGGGTACAAAAAAAACAAAAAAGACTTCTACAAATCTTCAGAAGAATTTTTATGATGAATACAGAGCTTTTCTACAAGATTCAAAGTCAAACTTAGTTTCATTTAGGGATTTTATTGGGACAATAGCCAAGCTTCCTCACATCACACGACTAACTATTATGCACAAGTTATTGTGTTGTATCATAACATAAACATAAAAAATCTACTGCACATATTTTTCTCAATTCCCTTATCCAGGATCTGTAATAAAACTTTCCAAAGATATATTTCAGTAATGGACATACATGTGTACAGGTCAAGAAAAAAAATCTGGAGATTTGCCTTGAAAAATGTTTGCAAAGCGCGTAAATTCATGATTTTGAAACTTCAAATAGATTTTTTTTTTTTTTAAATAAGCCTAATTTAGGCCTTGTAAATTAATTAAAGTGATCATAGGCCTACATATGACACAGTTAACTTAATTAAAATTAACAAATCTATAATAGAGATAGGCCTACTCAGGCAAAATAACTCTAGAAATAGTGCCTGATATTTCAAGTTTAGGGGCCAAAAAAAATTTAATATTGTCATTCTTCAGTAATGATTAAATAAAAAATAATGTCATGAAATGAAAACAAGAAAGCAAGCATGATCCCAGCCTCTAAATAGGACTACATGTAATACCATATTAAAAATCAGTATGTTCTGAAAGCAATATTTAGTAAATTATATGTACTGGCAATGTTACTTTTTCCAAAGGTGTAATTCATGACATATAGAATATCTCCAGTCCGATCATTAAATAATTTTTTTGCAACACTCTCACGAAGTATTGAACTGAATTAACCGCTTCCATTTTGACGTTCTTCAGAATGGAAAGACTTGTAATCAGTAAGCCCGTTATGCAGGCAATAAAATGAATGTTTACAGGCTACAGTAAAATTACAAAACAATTTTATGTAACGAAGTTTGAGTTTACATAACAATTAGACATCCAGTCGCGCATGATAATCTACGGATAATAAAAAAGATTTCTGAAACGACGTCTATCTTATATAGGCCTATTATAGACCTCCCAGATTGACAGTACAAATACTATGAAGACTTTAAGGTTTGGTTTTTAAGTAAGATAGGGCTACCGTAAAATTTATTGTAAAAGCGAAAGTAAAATCTACAGGATGTTGTTATAAAAAGTGTGTCATGTGGGCTTAAAATACACATTAACTTGTGAAAATAGATCAAATTACCATCTTAATTAGGGGATTAATTAATCAGGCAATGATAATATTATTATGTTATGAGATTAACGCGTGTTACTGACAATTAAGATACAAGTAATGATAGATATTTTGTTGATTTATGGTAGAGAATTTGGACGTTGAAAACGGTAGGTCCCGTGAAAATTTGGTCAAGAAAAAAACAAAAAAATTGCTAGAATCAGGTATCCTGTCGGTAGAGCGGTGGACAACATGCAAAAGCCGTAGAAACCCGACAACATCAATAGATTACACATGTATGGTGGTGGAGCTGTGAGTCAGTATAAAAATTATCAAAAAATTCTACTTGTATCATGCCTCATTCAGAATATTTTGGCCACTGGGCTGAGTGGCAATGTGTCAGTTGTACTGTGAAAAATTGAGCACTTCATTTTAAAGGGACAGATGGGCCATTTTGGGGAGGTTGATTTTAGTCTTGAATATATGTGAATAATCTTCCTAGGTACTAGAAATGGAAGAAAGTAGCATAATTTCTTTCAAAATACTTCAATAGAAGTCTCTGTTGGTCCAGTTTTTAATGGGAAATTACTCCAAAACCATTCATCCAATTATTACCATTTCTGAACATGAGATCTCAATCAATATATACATGCATACAAAGTTTCATCAAGATCTATAGTGCCTTCAAGTCAAATTTTGCATGTTTTTACTAAGTCAAAGGCAATAACCCTGAAACTTTTCATCTGATTATTACCAACTTCAAACTTAACCGAGATCTCATCAATATATGGGCTATTTTTATAAAAATGTACCAATAACGGAAAAGACATTTAAAAATATATATATGGATGTTTCATTAAATATACCATGCTTCTTAAAAATTTCTGACTCATATAGCTCACGGAGCTCTAGCCCAGCTGGAATCCTAAAAATAGCAGAAATATTTGAAAAATAAAATTTTGACGGATGTCTTTTCCGTTAAAAGAATAACTGAAAAGACATAACAGTAAAGATGCGTTAATTAGGAGATAACAGAAGAGACACAACAGAAAAGACCTGCATGAATAATGTTTGAAAATTGAATCAACATAGATCCAGCTGAACAAAAGCATCCATTTTAGCACTGACTTATTAGGGTTAAGTTTCTCTGGTGTTTAGGTAAGGGCATTAGGTCTGGAGGTATAACTTGAATCTTATTATGAATCTTTTAACATCAGAAAGAGCTCATTCTGAGCTTTCCAATTCACTAATCAATTTTTTTTCAAATTTTAAAGAAATTAGTATACATCATTTCGCATCAAATTTGGCCTCTATAAATTCATGTCTCTAACTTGATTTGTGAATGCCCTATTTGTCTCAGAAAAAAATTGATTAGTGCGTTGGAAGGCTAAGAGAGAGCTCTATCTGATATACAAAGATAGTTTTTGGTGGTGGTATTTTTTCAAATGTTTCTCAAAACAAATTTGGTAGTATTTTATGGCTCACTTTCTCAAACTAATTATTTAAATTAAAAGAGGTACTACTTATTTTCTTTAATAGAACTTTTATTGAAACATTTAAAAAAAATCTAATCAGAACAAACGCTTAAAATTACATGAAACTATGAGAACAATTTAGCTAATTGTTCAATTTCTTTTCAAATTCATCTGTTCCAGTTTATATGGTGGTGGTCCCACAAAATTAACTTGGCATAGTATTCGACTTTCTTTCAAAATTTCTATATCATCAGATCTTGGCCAGTCATACTCATTTACACCACACTTTTTTTCCAAGTATTTAATTTTGATGTAGCCTTCTTTTGCTGGTTCTATTGGTCGGCCAATGTAGAAGGTCTTTTTTTGTCGCAGTCGATAGAATACTGCATAGTAGTGTTGTTCAGTAATATTTTCAGTCTGTGATAATAATGTCATTGTATATAAGTTTTTAGCATCACTTTTGATATTTTGATCTTCTTCAGCATTTTTTTCTTCATCAGACATACCTTCTTCAATTGTTGAATTACCTTTATTTGAAGGTTGATTAGAGAATTTGGCACCATGCCAAGCCTTCCAGTATATATATTCTTGTTTTTCTTCAGGGCTTAATGTTGATAATTTGATGATTGTCACATCATACACTTCTTCAAGACGTTTCTCAAACTTACTAATCTGTTCCGGCATTAAATTATGTTCTATGGCTTCTGCAGTTAAATTTCTGGCAATATTAAATGCTAAGTGTTGTGGGTGATGACAAGAGCAAATTCTATCTCGGGAAATCCAATACTGACAGTAACAGGATAGCTGACGGTGATGAATTTCTCCATATGTTTTGGAAATTAACTGGTGGATTTGCATTGTTCCTTTTATAGTGGGAATGGATACAGACTGGTGGAGACTTTCAACATTATCTATATGAGATGAAGTAATGATATATATGTAGCATGTAACTGGATTTATTAATCTGGGGTTGGGGTTTTGCTATACAGCCCCAGAACCACGAACCAAAGCACTGTCCTATTCACAAAGTGGCACAAAATCACAATCACGTATAATAAAAACAATGCACAATAGCCCAAAATATTTGGGGTGGCACACACGTTAAAAATATCACACAAGCACTAAATTATACTGGAACAACACAAATCACAAAGGATCATCCAGAAAATGCCGAATAAAAGAATTAACACCGGTAAAAATAATCACAAAGGACCGCCCGATAAAAATTGGGTAATGAGGTACCGCCGATAAAGCTAGTCACATGGGACCTTCGGGGTATAGCTCATAGAGAAAGATTTCTAACCTGCTGAGAGCACACTCTCTTTCTCTCTTTCTTTCTGAAGAATTATTCGTCTGCTTGTGTTTATATAGCGAGAAAATCTCGCGAGATCACAGGTAACCGTTATCTCGCAGCAGCGTGAAATTACGTGACAATAATAAAAATTACGGATTTAATAATGAATATGTACAAATGATAAAAATAAATAAGGATAATGATATAAACAAGAAAAGTAAATAAGGGACGAAGACGGGAGCATTGTGAGAAGTAAGCCAAAGGTTAATTAAATTTTGAAAAGTAAATAAAAGCCAAAAAGATAAAAGAATAATTTTAATTCATCACATATAGTTTAATACTTAAGGAATTATTTAAGTAATTAAACAACTGTTCCATGGATAATATGTCTTTTCCACTTGCTACCATTCTGTCAGCTGTATTTTTCACTGTGGCACCGCCATCAGCAGATCCTTTGCCATGTGATGCTTCTAATAAATTCCGGTAGACCTGGTCAAAACCATACTTCTTGTATCTAGGATACAGGATCTAGATGGGCCCAAATGGCTGCTGGGGAATAGCGTCCATCTTCACTCATAGTGCAGTAGCATTTGGTAAATAATTGATTTTCTTGGTGGAGAGTTGCATGGCATGTATGGAGTAATGCATGCAGTAACTGACTCATGACTTTCTTAAAACTGTCCAATAACTCACCAGTAGTTGAGGTAATAGATGCTTTAGTAACTGCACTAACAGTTATTGGACCCTTCCCAGTAATTCTTTCCTCTTGGGTATTTTGCCATTCTTCATAGGTTACCATGACATCTTAACTACCAGTACTTGTATCAATCACATTATTCAGTTTGTGTTTACAGATCTTGCATACTTGGTACATACATTCATAGGATGATGAAGAACATGCAGCATCATTTATAATATTGGTGGCATTGGAAGATTGCAGAAAACCAATTGAACAAAGTTTTTGTGCTTTTAATTCAGTGTTGGCATGCAGTTTACACTGGACGGTGTCTCTTTGGTTGACAGAGGGAGCAACACAGTAAAATGGTCTCAGACGTGTGAATGAAGCAAATGATAAATTGTGGGTGACATGCTGTAACTTGTATTTTTTAAACAAGTTTTTCAAGGTATCAGTTTTTGCATTGTTTCTCTTTTCCCACTGGATGGAATGCTGTTAACATCTTCAAGATGAAATTGTGTTACTGACTCTGCTATATTTCCTAGACCACATTTAATTTTTCCTGTGGTCTCAAACAAAGCTTTGTTTTTCATCTGAACATTAAGTAGTCTTCTTTTAGTGAGGCACACAAGAAATGTGGACGGATGGAGCGATAGACAGGGGCGACGGCAATATACATGATAGAGATTTTTACATCTTGTCCAGCATGGTCATAAAAGCCTCATACTAAAAGCCGACTAATAATGAAATGTATGAATTTTTGGAAATGTATTAATTGAGTCAAAATTAAAGCAGTAAAAAAGAAACATACCTGAATCTGAGGTACAGGCACCATTGGTTGAGATTTATTTGGAGATTTTTTTTGCAAACCTGGTAATTCTTTCGATATTGGTGGTTCATCATTTATAGCAAGTGTTTGAATTCTCTGAAATAAAGAATAATCAAAGATCAATTTTTGTCAGTCTGCGCAAAAAGTTCTGTTCATGACAAAATATTGTCTTAGATGAATTTTTTTTACTGCATTGTGGTATGTTATTTTGAAATTTAATACTCTTACTATAATTCAATAGATTTTTCTGATTAATACAGTTCAACCTTGGGTGATAAGGAACAATTTTTCACCAAAATCAATCAAGAATTGTGCATATACGAAAAATATAAACCAAACCATAAACAAAATTTGGATGGGTCTTCTGGATCTATAGAAACAGAAATCACCAAAATCACAGGTTTCAATATATTACAATACTAAGTGATGTAGATTCATCCACAAGCTCAAAATATATGGGGATAATGTACAAATTGAAAGAGAAGATTGCTTTAACCATGTATCAAAACGCATGTACAAAGGTTTGGAAACTACTTCAAAGAATGCAATGGCAGAAGCCAAAGTTAATGGAAAATTCAGAAATCCAGTAAGTGGAAAAGGTAAAATGACAAAATCAAGGATTTGGTCATCTTATTATAAAAAGGCAATATGTGAAAGTATGAAAAATGCCATTTGGGCCATCTTTTTACACATCAAAGGCTCTTAAAGGGATACTACGTCTAAGACTACACTCATCCTGTGGCTAATATTTGTGTTTAATACTGACCATTGGTTAAATAAGTAAGCATTCCACACTTTATCAAGTTTGAAAGATAGCTTGCCAGGCAAGGTAATATACATCCACTGGCAGCTTTGATTTTGAATAAAAATATTTAGCAGTACAGTAACAATCACCAATATGAAATATTCAACCTTCAGACATACACTTCTTTTGAACTCTTTAGGGTGATACTGAATAATATTGAGTATGAGTTATTCCCTAGTTCTTTAAAACGTGTTAAATTTTAAGCTCGTGAAAACTCTAGAAAACTTATATCCAATCTTCAGCGCGGGCATGAATAATAAAATCAAGTTTTGTCAAAATTCAGCAAGAATCATGCCTTTTAGTGTTTAATAGCTAAATTTGAAAGCGTTTAAAGAACAAGGGCAATAAAACTAAATATGTTTCAATTCTTCCAATTTTCAATAGGGTTTATCCTTGGGTGATAACAACAAACACTCATGCCAAGTTCCGTCAAAATCAGTCAAGAATTGCACCTTCTACAGTGATAACGAGCTAAAAATTGAACACGTTTTCAAGAACAAGGGCAAAAACTCATACTAAATATTTTTCAATTCTTCTGATTTTCAATAGGATTCATCCTTGGGTGATGAACACTCACACAAAGTTTCGTCAAAATCCATCAAGAATTGTGCCTTCTACAGTGATTACAAGCTAAAAATTGAACGCGTTTTCAAGAGCATGGGCAATAACTCATACTAAATATTTTTCTATTTTTCTGATTTTCAATAGGGTTTATTGGGTGATAACAAACACTCATGCCAAGATTCATCAAAATCCATTAATAATTGTCCCTTCTAGATTGTTTACAAGCTAAAAATTGAACGCGTTTTCAAGAACAAGGGCAATAACTTATACTAAATATTTTCGATTCTTCTGATTTTCAATAGGGTTCATCCTTGGGTGATAATGAACACTCATACAAAGTTTTGTCAATATTCATCAAGAATTGTGTCTTGTTGAGTGTTTACGAGCTATTGTGGACGGACGGACTGACAGATATGGGTGACAACAATATACGCCCCCCATTTCATGTGGGTGTATAAAAATCAAATGGAAGGACGAGCAGATTCACCAAATAGCTCTTGAACTTTCTTCATGTAAGGAAGATATGGAAAGTGATAGAGCTAAAGATGGTTCTGTAAAGCCTATCCCTGGTTCAGAACAAAATAAAGCCCAGTTACAACAGGAAATTTATTACTTGAACAAACAGGCACGATAAATTGATACTCAGGATTACTCAATGAAAAAATAAACTCATCATTGGAAATCCAGATATTGAAAGATAAAATTAGACAACTTGAAAATGAAAATAACCTCGTCCCAATGTTTGATGAAATTGAGCACAGGTATTCCAATGAGGTTTGTGCATGTTGTATGTCTTTGGTTTCAGAGGGAAATGTCAGTGCTAACAAAGTTGGTAAGCTAATTTCTACTGTAATGGAATCTTTAACAGGGTATGATCCTTCACAAAATATTGGCAATGTCCTTCATCAGGACGCAACAACAAAATTAAGTGAACACTTTGAAGGAATGTAGGTCACTTTAAAATCAGGTGAAAATATATCTATTGGATTGGCTCAGGTTGGTGGTGGTTCGGCAGATACCTATGTTGAGGTATTTAGTGAATGTTTTTAGTTTTGAAAGTTTTTCCTGAAAGAAACCTTTAACACCAACCCAGTTGCGAGCATTACAGCCCAGATTCCTGTTGTCTATTCCTAGTAAGTCCATAATAGGAAATATAACTCACAACAACAAAGAAACCATTCATTTTGGAGGAACGTATTCACTACAAGCACAAGTTTGTTTACAATTTCGTCGAAAAATTTGCAAATGGAGTCCTAATTTTCTTCAAAATTCCTTGGCCAGCTCGGCTATACGTCCAAACCGATTAGATGCAAAACCTTTGAAACTGCGTTTATTTTCTACATCGTTGACAGTCATCCATTCCATATACTGATTGTATAAAGAGACCGAGTGTGCAGAATGGCTAGGTGAAAGCAACTTTGCAATAGCAATCAAACCAACTGTAAATACACTCGAAGAAGGTGATTTCAAGATTTTCCCACAATCAATCAAATTTTGCATTTCAATGTGCTGTTCTGTGTTACGGAATACTTTATCTTTGGCGTAGTCAACTCCAAGAACTACATGGGCAGTACATTTCAAAGTCTTTTCTGAAGCAATATCCAAGTTCTCCAAAAGCACTTTACAATCAGATGCCCGATCAGAGATCCAAAAGTCTATATGACTTTTAATTTCATCAACTGTACTGTTTGAGAGTGTGGCTAGGCATTGTAGTTTCATACCATATGCCCATGCACCGTCCTTTCCAGAGTGGGATACATTTTCAATATACCCTGTTGTAAATGACTTTCTATAGTGATTCGGCCCAGCAATTGTTAAATGATCAGTTTTAATGTCAAATAACTTATGACCTGCAGCCTTTGTTGTATCATCAATTCCTACAGTTACAACAGATTCAGATTCGTCTTTGTTCAGTATATATTGAGCAACAATTTCGAGATTCATGAATGACGCATCTTCAAGATAATTCATGATGCAATGCCGGCTAGACATAACAAAAGACTTATCTTTAAAAGAAAGTTTTCGTTTAGAATTTGAATCATTATCATCTGTCTCTTCATCACTGGATGGGTCGTCACTGTCACTATTGAACCCGGGGTTTAACCCGTTAAACAATCTATTTTTGTTTTGTTTTGTTATTTTCTGTTTTACGTAGTTCTTTAAAAGTTTCATAGTCTGCTTTTATTTTCTTAGCTATTGCATGTTCTCCTATAGGGTATACATTTTTCTGTATCCAGTCATTTCTAAGTTCCTTGGCAACTATAAAACTAGCACTGAATCTACTTACAGTTATATGTCCTTTTTCAGAATTCTTACAAAGAGATAGCATCCGTCCAAGTATGAATTTCCCACTATGAAGTTTAGTTTTCGTTACAAATTCTGGTTTTTCTTTGTAGTCTTCACCAAAAAATCATTTTCTATTTTCGCTTGTTCTTGTTTTTACATCCATTTTAGCTAATTTCTATCCTTTCAATTTCAAATTCGATCAAGTCCAAATCTATTTTGCAATATGATGTCATAAGATTATGACATCACACAATTATGACATCATCACATGGCATCATAATGACATCATTCAGGTAACAGGTTTTTTTTGTAAATTTCTACTATACACAGATTTCTTGAAATAAACAAAGAAAATGAACTCGACGACCCCGAAAACCATACAAATGATATATTACAAGCCATACCCCACAAGTATTTCAAAGTTTTATCACATTTCAGCCGCCATATTGGATTCAAGGTTGTTGAATTCAATGGGCAAAAATGAATTCATTGACCCTGCAAACACTTTAAAAGATATCAAATGATAATATCTGACAAAAATTTTGAAATACTAAGATAAATTTCATGCTTTTTTTCGTCCTTAAAAACATATTGGAGACAAATTTTACACAATTATAAAATCAAAAATCCAAGAATTGGCACAGAAAAATTTCCTCAACTTCTACAACAACTTTGTTTACACATTGGCATGATAAACAATGAAATCCTTGTGAAAGGATTTGAAACCTGTGGAATTCATCCATTTGATTCACAGAAAATTTTACGAAAATTACCACACTCTGATGAAAACACTGCTGCTGCATCACAGACTGTAATTCAAGCTCTGTTATCTCATCTGCAAGAAATCCGACATCCAGAAAAGGAGTGTGCTAAAAAAAGGAAGAAAAGGGTTAATATTGAAGCTGGTAAATCTGTACCAGCGCTAGATCTTTTGACAGTTGATTCAGAACCAGGAACAAGCAAATCCAAAAAAAAAATTATGTCCTTGAGGAAGAAATGCCCTCTGATGACAACTCTGAATCAGAATTGAGTGTGAAAGTAACTTGAATTCAGAATCTGCAACGCGTAAAAAGAGCCCAGTAGAATTAAAAGCAGCAGACTGGGTGGAATATGTTGGGAAAAAACAGTCAAAGAAATTTGTTGGTCAAATTATTCAAAAAAAAGATAATTTTGATTATCTGGTTAAGTTCATGAAACAAAAAGACAAACATTGCTTTTTCTGGCCTGACACAGAGGACATTTCTAATGTTGACTATGATATGATAGAAGAGGTGGTTAAAGAACCAGAGATTGTGCGTAGAGGATTTTTGTATTTTGAGGAAGATATTTAATTAATAAGCTTATTCTTGTTAGTTGACCTCAAATCCTGTTTGTTATTGTTTAAAGGTTTTATGCAGTGTGCATTGTTTTATTCATTACATTGTTAGCTCTCCGAATATACAGTCTATCATTTTTTAAAAGCGTAAGAGACCAAAATATGACTCCAAAATTTTTTCAGTTAATATTTCAATTGATATCAAATTGTTTTGTTAAAGTGTTAATTTTGTGCTGAAATGTTTAAAATACTTTTTTAAAACAAATTTAAAGTGCAAAGCTCATCAATGAGTTAACTTTGCTCAACTTTAACTTTTCCTCTGCTGTGCTAAGTAACACTGACCCCTAGGGAGACTTTGCACAGCAACATTTTTAAAAAAAAAATGTCCAACATATTGTAGAAGGTCGATTTACCTTAGGGGAATGTTAGAAATATTCTATACCACTATTTTAGAACAAACAAAGTATCAAAATTCTTACTCATTACGAATATACACAAAAATTAAAAAATAAATAGTGCAAAGTAACCCCACTTTACGGTATGTGAAAGTTTTGCTTCCTACTTTTCTGCACCATGTCACATGGACTAAAGAAGATGGGTAACATCATGCAGAGTGCAATGAGGGAAATTTTTCCAGGACAGCAGCTCTCTTATGATTTCCAACTGTCGAACCCTGGACCTTTAGGTTAACGAGCTCAGCCACGGCAGCTCCCACAGAATAGGGTAGGCCTATCAGAATTAATCAAAATATTTAAAAGTTTGGAAATAATATTGAGCCACCTTGTCCTTTACACCTGCTGTTCTAGGCATTTAGCTTTAAATGCTTTTTTTGCCTTGCAAATACATGTTTGGTTTTTCCTGATCGATTGCCATAATTAACTTTGAAATGGATAATTACCTACATATTTTATTTCTGTCATATTTTCACAGATTGACCCATCCTTAACGATTCCCAACCCTAGATAAGATCGTTTTGAAAAGTTTACAAAAATATTCAGTTCTCACAGTAGCTTAGCTCCTTCCACTGTGATCAGAGTGCATTGAGTTGCACTACTATCATACACTTGACTGACAGCTAAATGTTTTAACTTCAAGGGAGGTAATTTTGGAGAGAAAAGTAATAAAAGTACAAGATATAGGTCAAAAACACTTCAAGGAAGGGTAATGGGTGAAATATTACAGTTTTCTAATATAAGCAGGCCCGTAACTAGGGGAGGGGGGTGGTCTGGAAATATATTCTCCCCCCTGCAAAATTCGAACAAATTCTCAATTGAAGCTGAAATCATTCTCTATCAGCTATTGCCCCCCATGCAAATGCAAATGCGGCTGCCTCCCTTGGCTGGTTACGGGCCTGAATATAAATGTGTTATTTACAGGAGATTATCTGTAAAAAAAAATAAACCTTTCTTGATATAGGTCAGAAAATTTAAAACATACTTCAAGAGGGTAATTTCAAAAGAATTGACAATAAAAATCATACAAGCAATATAATTCTGTCAATAAAAAATCTTGTCCAAAGAATGGCAAAATAGGGAGTAAAGGTACTAGGCCTACAGTAGTGGATAATGTTTTGATAAAATATAGGTAAGTATTATCTTGCTTAGATTAAGATAATTATGCTCAATTTCTAAATATAACTGCAAAACTCCTGACATGACTCTAGTCAGTGACAAAAATCTTCAACCAAAGCCACATGTGTGCCCGTACCTTTAGGAAACCATGAATCAAGATGTAAATGAGTTTAATTTTAAGTTAGAAATGCTGCCGTCTTGTAAGGGGAGGTAACATATATTATGTTATTGTAGACTACAAATTTTCTTGCTGGAGCTACGTCATTTCCAGTTAACTCATAAATTATGGTGCGTCAATAATGGTAAGCAGTCATTTGTGAACAAATACTTTTAGACACAGTACTTAAAGCACATTTCTTTTTGACTCGCGATCAATTAGGCAAAGCGTTTTTAGGCACAGTGATTAGGCAGGGTGTGTTTCAAAAGTGGTCTCACCTATTACTCATATTTTTCATTTCTATATCTTACATGATTTTGGCTGTTTTATGCTCAAGAATATATACATTAATGAAGCACAATTGAATTACAGGAAAAAAAATTATTTTTAAGTGAGATTTTGACAATCACTCAACGACATTTAGCATCATTTCTAAGTCAAGGGCAATATCTCAAAAACCGTTCATCGAAAATATGTCAAATTCGAGCTTGACCGAGACCTTATCAATCTAAAGCATCACACCAAGTTTTATCAAAATCATATAAAAACTGTAGTCTCTATAGTGCTCACAAGAAATGTTGACGGACGGACCGACGGACAGGGGCGACGACAATATACAACCACATATTCATGTGGGCGTATAAAAATGATCCAAAATATGACTACTAAACTTGTTCAATAGATTACATCATGACGTCAAAGACTAGTTAAAGGAATAAGAGTTAACTCCCATGTACTGGGAAGCAGACAACAAATAAAACTTTGAATTAAAGTTGGCCTTTTTATAATGGCTCGTCCTAAAAAATCCAATAAACTTTCAAATGCTGAAAAATGTAGAAAATATAGAGAAAGCCAATCAGAATTGAAGAAAAAGACACAAAAACTGAAGGATAAAAAAGGAAAAGTGTAGAAAGAAGCTTAAGGAAGCTAGACTAACATTCTTATGAATTGTTTAAGGTCAAAGACAGAAATCGGAAACAATAGAAAAGAAAATTGCCTGATGAAAAAAATGAAATCCAACCTCCATTCTCTACAAAACAATCAAAATCCAGATCAATGAAGAAAATCAGAAAAAGTCTATCCAGAAATGCAGGGCAACAGAGTGAAGTCATTAGTGAATTGATTAAAACATTAACCCCTAAAAGATAAATTAAAGTTTTTCTTAATATCAAACTAAAACCTGCACCAAAACTATTAGGCAGACCTGTAGTCCTTAATGCTGATAAGAAAGAATTCCTTATAAATTTCCTCGAAAGGGATGACATTTCCTATTCATTGCCAGGCAAAAAGGACCAAATTTATATTGGCATCATAAATGGAGAAAGACAGTACAGGGGCAAGCGTTATTTGCTCTGGAATTTAAAGGCATATTATTAGGCATGTTAAATTCTAATGATACAATTAATCTCTTAAACACCTATGTCACTACATCTATTGAAACACTGAAGTTTTCAACATTATATCGTCTTATTGCCTCACTAAAACATATAAGATATCAAAGCAATATTCCACATCAGTCATGTTTATGCGATACATGTGAAAATTTTGATCTTATGATAGATACCCTAAAAAAACACACAATTTAATTCCCCAAAATAATCAAGACTTGTTGAAAGTTGTTGTATGTGACATTAAAAATGAAAACTGTGCACATGGCAATTGTGACAAATGTCCTGATTTTGAAGTTAACAAGATCATGGAAATGGAATCTCTAACCATTTATCAACAGAAAAAATGTATTGGAATGAAATACCCTGAAAAGGTAGCTGTCAATTTGAACGGAGAAGAGTTCATTGAACATTTTAATGAAAAATTAGCCAAAATAAAATTGCACTATTTTCTGAAAAGAAATCAGCATTCTGCTTTTAACCATTTGAAAGAAAATCTTAAAACTTCTGAAATTATTATCCATGTTGACTTTTCAGAAAATTATAACAATACACAACAAAATGCCATTCAAAGCGCATATTTTGGGTACGATTCCTTTGTACACTTTACACAGCATGTGTATACCACAAATTAACTGGTGAAATTCAGTGTGACAATTTTGTACTTGTTACATCAAGTAAAGAGCACAGCCGATCAGTGGCATTTGGCTTAAATAATCATATTATAGAACTGATGAAAAAAAAGTATTCTGAAGCCTATTTAATTGAAACTGTACATTTTTGGTCAGATGGATGTGCTTCTCAATTTAAAAGTAAACACTGTTTTCAACAATTGATAAAATATGATTCAAATTTTACCATAAAATGGAATTATTTTGAAAGTCATCATTGGCAAAGGTGCTGTTGATGGTTTGGGAGGGTGCATAAAAAATGTTGTCTTTAGACATGTCAAATCCAATAAAGTCATAATAGCTGGACCAGAACAGTTTGCAACATATGCCAATAGCACCGTTTCAGGTATAAGTGTATTATATGTTTCAAGTGATAAGTTAGGTGAAGTAATTGACGAACAAAATTCAATCCCTGTTGAGAAAACATTGAAAGTTAGAGCTGTTGTTAGAGAATGTTACGATTCCAGCTAAAAGCTAAAATTTTAAAGTTCTACACCTCACTTTTCACCAGACATATTGCCATTTCATACTATAACATATGAGGCTGTTGATATAGATTCTGCTAGCAATAATGCAGGAGATAACATACCAGAATATATACATGTATCAACTGGGCAGTGGTATGCTGTATACTTCCAAGAATACTCATATTGGTTCATTGGATTTATTACTAGTCTGACAACAGTTCATGAAAATTCAGTAGAAATGCAATTTCTTGAACAGGAAAATGTAGGCATTAATGCTTTCAAAAATAAAAAATACCTTTCTATAGTAAAGAAATCCAATCTTTTGTATAAGTTACATGAAGCTCCCAAACCAGTGGGTTCTTCGACAAGAACAACCTCAGTAACTCTAACACAAACAGATTTTAGTGAAGTTCAGAAAGAATGTAAACTTTTCTGTGCATAGGATTGACATTGTTAAAATACTTTATTGTCAAGTTGTAGAATGTGTTTCGAAATTAAACTATAAATATGTTATAATCTCAAATCTTTTAATTATAATTGTATGTATCTTTTCATCAAGATATTAGCTTCTAAACATTTACAACTTTATGCCATTAAGCATACATTCTAATGAATTAAATTGTATGATTTAATGAATATTTATTAATTCATTTTTTATCTATTTAATTGTTTATTGTTATGAAATTTTTACTTCTAATCTGAATATGGCTATTAAATATAAGGTTGATATATTCTGACACCATTTTTTTTCATTCTGATATCTAAAGCATGATTCTTTGAATCTTTTTCTGAACTTTACAAAAAAGTTCATTTTGATGTTTTCAAACTATTGACAAATAGAAACAAAAAATCAGGATCAGGTCTTTTAACATCCTGTACGGAACATGAAGTTTCTGGCCTATTACTAAGATTCCTAGCTTTGACCATAGGCAGAGACTTGATGATCATAAGAAGGGTTTACTCTGTTTGTTTTACACATGATTCACAAATCAGATAATTGGAATAATGTGATGTTTTGTGTGAAAGCACCTTTGTCAACATTTTTTTCCATCCGACACTTTTACATTTCCATCCAACACCAAAACTCCCCACAAAACACAAGTACCATTATGAAACAAAAAATTTAAGAATTGAACAATACTGTTTTACAATTTGTATAAAAATGTTCAAATGAAAAGTACAAATGCTTTTCTGGATATTATTGCCGTAAACTTTGATAGAATATACACATTACCCATATGGATTGATAATAGTCATTTCTATTATTCCATCCGACACCAAAAGGAAAATGCCTATTTTTTTCCAATTATTACTTCATTTCAAAAGTTGTATGAAGTAAACTGAAGAACATTATATGACAAGGCTAATACATAATAAAAGTTTGATTCCATGTTGTGTCAGCAACATTTACATGTTAAAGAATCTATCAATTCCATCCGACACCAATATTTGACTTTTGAAACACACCCGGCACAACTTCAATTAAGTACATATTCAATTGGCACACACTATTTAGGCACACTGATATTTGGCACAGTGTCATTTAGGCACCTTGATTTAGGCACATCTTCATTTAGGCACATTAATATTGGGCACAATGTCAATCAGGCACACCTTGCCAGAGGCGGGGGATGGACAATTAAATGACAGTGAACCCCAATAACGCCATTAACATGGAAATGAGGGTATCTTCTGGTTTGAATCAAACTGAGTTTTATTTTTAGAATAAGTATTGCTAAAGTAAATATAAAACTAATTTCTGTTACAATTGGTTTACCTTGAATGGACTAGACATTTAGTCATAATGCAGCATATGAAAAAACCTTGGACGTTTTTTACAATGCAAATTTTGATTCTGGGATCTAAAAGTTCTGAATATTAAATGTTTTATGTGGATAAGATGACATTCTATATTACTATGTAGAAATATCTATACAAAATTTCAATGTTGTGTTGTATAACTGTACCTTCACAACATATTTGTGAAATCATATTTATTTTGAGGAAAATTCATGGAAATATATTAATTACTAACCTCATTGACTTTTTCTCTCTCTTTATCAACCTCATGTTTCAACTTACTAGAAGCTTCTTTTGATATCAGTATTATTGCATTATACTGTTTCTCTGCTTCTTTATTTTGCTTCAATTCCTCTTCATAGTCAGATTTAGATTGGCTACAATGAGCAAAAGTCACATCAGATCCTGATCATTTCTATAGGTATATTTATATATATAACATAAAATAATAGCATATTTTTTCAGATAGAAATCTGCATCCCCTACTAGAATGCATTTTTTTCAAAATAACAATTTTTCTGCAAAAATAGTACATAACAAGCGATTTCCAAGCAAGATACACCCACCAAAAACTGCTTGGTATATCAAGGATTGTCATCAATATGTGTTGAATTGTACCCAAAATCTAACTTGTCTCAGATCGGGTTGATATAAACCTACGCACCAAATTTCATAAACTGTTGCCTTTAACACATTCTTGGATAAATAAGTCTATTTGCTACACTGTTAATGTAGGTGTTTTTTAATGAATAAACATAATGAAAAGAAATACATGAGACTAACATTTTTTAATATAAATTGTGTAATTGTAATTGTAATGTGTAAGTTAAATTCACCTCAAAACAGCCCTCAATATTGCATCTTCACCTTCATTTTCATCTACATCAGTTTTGTCACCTTCTTGTTTCAAACTGTCAGGTAAATCTCCTCTAGCCTTTACTATCATCATAATAACTTGTAGCTGTAATTCATTGTTCTTTTGTATCATTAACTGAACAAATAATTGATAATCTTCAGATGCAAGAACTTGTTCGAGAAGTGACTGAAAAAGAAAAAATATTATAAATCAACTTTGAGCTGTGCTACTACTGCCTAGAAAAAACAGTCTGCACTTATTAGACTGCAGAACACAAAAGCTAATTACAAGATGTCTTTCACTACAGTACCCAATACAGTCAAATCCCCCAAAAAATACCAGAATAGCAATTTAAATTTTGATTCTCTTATTAAAATATATATGAAGAATAGTTTAATAAAGAGAGAAGTGGGAGGTTGTGATTATTTGGTAGTCGAGATTGAAGTGTCGCGGTAAAAGACAACTGGTGTGTCTCTCTCTGGATAGATAGGTTTACCTCTTTAGCATTAGCTTGGTACACTGGTTGATGGAAAGTAGACTCTTTTTTTCTTTTAGCCAAACGATTTTCTTCCACCAGGGTGGTTATATAAACATGTAGAATACACAAATTGACAAGGTTATGACTCAGTTTCAACTGAATTTCAATAACCATGTGATTAAAAATCAAAGTTTGATAGTTTGAGACAATTGCTAATTTTGTCCCCCATGTTAAAGGGATCGTTCGCACCTTCTGAGACTAATTTTGGAAAAAAATATTATAGGTTATTTTCACATATAAACTTCTCATATTTCGTATGGAAAACATTGTTATGACCAAAAATATTATTTTTCTTGAAAAATTGCGTTTTACCAACCATATGTCACTTGCATTATGCATCATGAATGCATGTCATCATCAAATATGACCCGCATTTATTGATTTTTACAAAGATGTAACTTGCTGCAGATTTGATTGATCATGGCTGAATTTATATCGAAGTGGAGCATGAGAAAATCTGGACAATATTTTATCACACTGAGCTATAAATATCTCATTTCAAAGCCAATCTAAAGGTCATACGTCATAATTTATTTGGGTATGCCCTGTAGTGAATTCATGTCTTTCAGGAAGTCGGAATTTAGTCCAATTCTAAGCGTAGAATGCCATCTAAAAAATTTTCAAGTGTTCATAAATTCAAACGAAAGCGTAGGCATTCAAAAACCGTTCTTGGTGAGGTCAACAATTCTTCTGATGTGTTAGAAAAATCTTTCGATGTGAGCGATGACAGCAGTGACCTAGATTTACCTGACAAGCTGGTGGATTGTAGTAGTGGTAGTAAATTTAAAGAATCAGCCACTGAAAAGAACATCATGATGAGGAAGACTTGAGTGGATGTAAGATTGTTGATATTGCATTCTTAAAATCCTTGATCCTCAAGTGTCCTACATGCAACAATATTCCTCGAAAATTGTTCTTCAGATGAGGAAAATAACAGAGGTAAGAATGGGCGAGGCGACCAGTTATCCCTAGTTATCAGTGACTAGTTTCGTACTTGGGTGTACTCTTCAGACTGATTAATAAAACTCACTCTTCGGGGTTCTATTTATACTGTTCAGATAGCGGGGTGTCTAACGGGATTTAACGGGGTTGCTTTTTAACGGGGTTAGTTTTAACGGGGTCTAAAAACCGGAGTTAGTTAACGGGGTTTGTTTTGCCGGGGTTTAACGGGGTTAGTTCTACCGGGGTTAACGGGATTGATTTCTTACCGGGGTTAACGGGGTCTGTTTTTACACGGGTTTCTTTTAACGGGGTTACCGGGGTGGATTTTATACCGGGGTTGATTTGAGCCAAGGATGCCAGTGTTTTGCGGGCTTAATTGGATCCAGTGCAGGGGAAGGGATGAAGTACCTAGAATAGGCTGTCTGGGTTAAGACGGGCCGTGTGTGTCGGAAGTGGAAAAAAAGAGTTTTTGGAAAAGAGGGGACAGAATACAAAGTAAGAAGCCTGTAAAAAGATTTATTGAAGAAGAAGACTGTTGATGAGTTCATCGTGGAATAGGTCTTCGTTGGTCAACTGGCATAGCAGTACAGGATCATCACGAGGGATTCGGAATCTTGCATCTGACACTCGATCGCGGTTCGACCAGATGTCGCTCCTGCAAGTTGCGGAGGTTTCCCAGCATTCTGTTGGGAAGGGTGCACCAAGTAGGTTTGGTGACCCTGCCTCTCTGTTTGACCCGCCAATGATATCAATCGGGTCAGTTCTTTTCCACTGATTTTGTGGCGGGAAGAGGAATCCCGGGCTTAGCTGTCCAGTGTTATCTTGTGCCAC